TAATATGTGATATTAGAGTATTTAAACTTATTGAATTTCCTTCAACTATAAGCTGCAACTTGTAGATTTAGCTTTATTTTATCAACAGTGACAATGAAGCAATCAAAACACTTCAACTTGTAAAAACAATAACAGTAATAAGTGTTACTTTATATTCAACAATGACAAACACCTGCAGTCTCAGCTGGAGGACTTAAAGCTTAACAAAGAACAACCAACTTTTCATGGTTTTTCAGAGTAATCAACATTTTTGACTGCAGAAGTTTTATAAAAGCTAAGCTGTACAGGAAGTGCATGCAAAAATATACTCAGTCTGGGCCTCCCCTAACAGGTGATCATTAGGAGCTCCCAGAACTGCCATTACTGACCCCAATTTAAAGGAAAGGGCTTTTAAAAACAAACAAGTGTCAGCAAACCACAGAATGAAAAAGTAGGCTTAAATCCTTTATCATGGAACATTTTTTTAAAAAATCTAAACCGATGAGGTTTCTCAAGGTGGCACTATATCTCAATCTCCAAATCTGACTTTGCCATTGGCTTTAAAGTTGACTTCAATTACTATTTCTGAAATTTGCAACATGAAATGGTTTTAGTCAATTTGAAACTATTAATTTATTGGATGTATAGTCTGCCATCTATCTGACAATGATGACGGCTTTCCTTACTTGAGAGGAACCTGGCAGCAGTGAAAGAAGAATACTGATGCTCAACATCAGGTCCTTGGCTTGTGAATTACCTGAATATTTCATAAATATAACTGTAAAGTTTGACATTTTTCTCTAGTATAGTGTGTAATGTCCCTTCAATTACCGTCCTTTGCAAACAACAACAAGCTGAATATGTGGACCCAGCTTATTCTATTCATTGAAGTCTTCTGAGTTGGTTATTTTATATTTAGTACAAAAACAATCACAATGGCCTTTGTTAGCATATTGGAACCGGCTGGAGCATGAATTCTATATTTTGGGTCTCCTAATGGAAATGACACTCCAGGTGAGCGTAGCAGCTACTTCAAGCCTATTTATTCATCAGCAATGATACTCAACATTCTTTGCGTTAAGACTTCCATCTAAGTGGACTATGGTGGATAAAGTCTTAATGTATATACCCTTAAGCATCCTACTTTACATTTTTACCGTTATGAAGGAATATTATTTCAACCCTGATTTAGAGAAGCCTTTTATTTCCTCGTTTCTTGTGAGTATACCCCACTTAGATCATTTCCTTAATTCAGCTTTAGCTGATTCACTTATCCCTTTTTACTTCTTGTCAATCATCAGTTTAGATTTCTCATCGTGTATTTATTAAGGCACCTAGGCTTCTGAACATGGTGGTGCAAATCCCAAGCGCACATCTTCATAAAATATATGCTTTTTTTTTCTTTTGCTTTCTTCTTGTAAAAAATATTTTTTCCTCGTTTTGTTTTGTTTTGCTGTGCACCTTTCCCTCCCCTTTTCCAGATCTAATCCCTCAGGCTTTTGCTTACCTTTTTCTATGCTGAATCAACTGCTATTGATTACTACTCCACTTACCCAGTCTTTTTTATTTTCTCTTTCTTAATCAACTTTGTATTCTATTTTTCCTTTTTATTTCTTCATCCAGCTTTACCACTTATCCTATTTATCCTACTCCTTTCTCCCTCTTGGATAAATCATGCACATATCTTAATCATTGCCCCAAATTAGTTTTATTCTTCCTCCAGATTTTAAATCTGATTGATTTTGCTCAGATGTTGAGCACAATTATGTTCGTTAGATTGCCTTGACTTTGGCTTCTCCTTCTTTATTTATTTATCAAATGTATATGGCTGCCCATCTCACCAAAGGTGACTCTGGGTGGTGTACAAAAATCCATAATACATACTCAGTCTCCTGGTGATTGTACTGCAAGTTAACTATACAACTCTGTGACTTTGTGTTGTATTTGGTTCTTGTTTCCAGTTTAAAGGGCCTGATATTTCTTCTAGGTGCCTCTATTGTGGTTATTGTCAAAGGTTATGGCTTTGTTTTTTATGGTTTTACTATGTCAGTTTTATCTGTTCATCCAGGTGTATTTTGATTTGCATGTAGGGATCAGTAAAAGTGTCCAACATTCCATATTTAGCTAAGCTGATGGGGAACGCAGTGAAACTGCAGAAATAATAGCTAAGATCTTTGCCAATCTGTGCTTAAACCCAGATTTCACAAGGACTCAGCCATGATCACACTGATGGATGATCTGTACTAGAAGAGAGATAGGAGAGGTATTATCCTGTTTATATTCCTGGATCTCTCCATGGCTCTTGATATCATGGTCTACAGTAGCCAGCTGGAGTGTCTGAGGCACTGCTATGTAGTGGTTCACTGATGTTTCTCTTTTTTTAGTCTGATACAGATAACAGACATAAAGACTTTGTTTTTCCCCACAAAAGTTGTTCTTTTATACAGAATTAAAGTCCAATTTCTTCTTAATGCTGATTCTATGCTTGCTTCTACTTTCCAACCCAAGTTCTTCCTAAATTAGGCCCTAGAGTCTTCCTATAAGTTAACAACTACTTCTATTTTATTTAATCTATGAATTTCTATCCTGTGTTCTATGTTTATGTTCCTAGCACTGTTTTCCTAGCTCTTTGAATCTTATTTCCTACAAGGTCTTCAGCTCTTGTAGCCTAACTCGGTCCATTATATCTGAAAACCTTTTCACTCCTCTATAGACTTGGGGATGGGGCTTTTCTTTGCCCTCAGCACTCACAGTCCTCTCTTCCTGGAGCTGGTTTGTGGAGCTCTGGGCCTGGGCTGTTGTACACAGTGGGCTTGTTCTGATTGCTTCTTTTGCAGACTCTGACTGGGGTCTCTGTCCCCATCCCAGCCTTTCAGCTTTGCCTCTCAGTGGGTTTTGCAACTCCAAGGCTTGCCATTTCTTTCCCGTCTTTGCTGTGGTGGTGGTGTTTTCCCCACCTCTCTGCTATCTTCTTGGCTTAACTCCTTCTTCGTCTGCCCATATACATGCTTAATTTCTTGTCCATTTTATGTGACCCACTCTCTAATTAAGGAGAGGGTGAGGCTGCTTTAACCCTCTTCCCCAGGCAGCAGCAAAGCTCTGGATCCCAGGGGGGAAGGAGAAATACCTGATCAGGCTCAGCTGCGAGTTCATTCTCCCACACACTTCCCAGAAAGTGGAGCTGGGAGACTATTGCTTTGCTCCTGGAGACGTCTCACAAGGCTGCAAAGTAACTCTCATATTATTTAATATCTACATGAAGTTGTCAGGAATGATCATGCACAAGTTTAAACCCAGTTTCCATCAGCAAAGTTGTGATATTCAGTTATGCTTCTCCTTTTCTGAGAGTTTAGAGTTGAATGTCTTAAGAGGCCCCATCTATGAGTTGTAAAACACTGGATGTGAGAGAACAAACTAAATCTGAATCTTGACAATATTGAGTTGCTGCTGATTCCAAGCACTAGAGTTCAGGATGCAGAAGGTATGAATGTTCTGGTTGCATCCTCCAAAGGAATTCACAGATCTTAGATTCCTCCTGCATTAATAAGGAGAAACATGTATGGCAAGAGGGCGTAGTGGCAATGCAGAAGACCACTGTTATTTTGAGGAGTTTAGGTGGCAGAATTTGATTTCTCCTGCATGCATTAAGAAAGTTCAGTCTGAGTCATATTAATGTTTAGCTGGCTTGTTTTTCACTTTTACTTAGAAGTGGGGGTGGAGGGAGGAAGAGAGAAAACTCTCAGGATCATTTAGGTTAAGCACTAGCTTATGTATACAGTTCCCAGGCTCTGGATTTACGTGATGAGCAGGTATAGAATCTGGTCAAGGTCACTCTCACAGCCCCTGACTCAAAACAGAGTCATGGGATTGTGGTGCCAGATTTCGATAAAAACTCCTGTCATTGCCCCTGGAGTTTGGAGCATGGACACAGGCCTTGGGATTAGGAGCTGTGTTATCTAAGCCATCTTGGGGTCTCTCTACTGCTGCCTTATGGTAGCTCCTGATGGTAGGGGAAAGTTTTACCATCTTGCTTGGTGTGTTATGCTTTTATACTATGCTTATGTATTTCTGTTTAATGCTATCTGCTAATTCTTATATTCCTGTTTAAATCTGTTTGATAGAGTTAACAATAAAGCTTAAAATCTCCTTACCTACTAGTGTGTTCATTGTCTAAAATGCAAAATTGAACTATTTGTTTAAGCTTAAAATTATTACTGCCACTCTTAATCCTTTTGGTGATTAGACTGAATATTTTTTATAATTCAGTTATTGTTTAGGGATGAGAAAGGGGATTTTTTTTTTTTTTACTAATAATAGAGAAGATGTTAAGTTACTGTTAATACAATATACTTGTTTGGAGGGAGGGGGAAGTCATTTTTACATTTTTCTCTTTTCCCTCCTTCCCTCCCTCCCCAGCCTTCTTTAACATGATGTGTTGGACTTTAGCTTACAAAATTCACAGCTAATGTAACTAAAGGTCAACCCAACTGGGGATCAAGGGAATTGCAGTCCAATTCATCTGGAGGTATCAGCTTGGGTAAGGCTGGTCTATAGGTATAACATTAGGCAAGGTCTGGGGAGAATGGATATTGGACATTTTTGTGAGATTCTCAGAACTGCCTGAATACTGCATAAAAATACACATATAGAGCAAAAGAGTCATTTCTGTACCAGTGTAAATATGAACAACAGTCTAAAAAACTAAATTAGGATCAGGAAAGCATATGAGGGTTGCATCTCTGCTGATCTTTGAGAGACTTAAAAATCACAACAGTAATTTTGGTAATCAACCTGTCCTCTTCAAACCACTTGTACTGTACTTTCAAAGCAGTCAGAGGTTACGTATAGGTCCCACCTTTAATGCTTTGAGTGAAGACTGGCACAGCAGTAACTGGGGCAATCAACGCTAAATATTAGGTTACTAGAAATAACCTGCATTTATGCCACAAAGGAGCTGTGTATAATCCATACATTTGCATTGCACAATAAATAACTGTAGTGTATCAGTGGACTATTGATTTTAATGTATTTTGCAGAAAAATAAAACATAAAAAGAAACACTCATTTATGGCGCTTCCAAATTTCTATAAATTTTTATCAGAATCTTCAGAACTTGTTTCACTTTCAGTCTCACTGCCTTCTGAACTGCTGGTATCTTCATTCTCATCACTGCTCCCTTCGCCAGTTTCTTCATCTTTGTCAGCACATTGACTTTCTAACATGGAAATGTAAAAGACACAAACTTAAAATCAGCCGTTCTTCCAAATATTCGGTATGTGTGTGACCTGTTTATTTGCTGGCCTCATCATCCATTTCTATTTTCCTACTGCTTCCCAGAAGATGACTAGGTCTTAAGAGAAAACAACAATGGAAATGGAACTTTCTACATGTCTTCTTTCAAAAATTAGAATTTGGTGGCATGAAACTTAAACAAATTGGAGATGTGAAAAACCAACAGCTTGAATTACATGCTGAAAATATTGATACTGTGTTGATCTGAAATATAATTCCAAATTTGCCTCATAGGTTCCCAAATTCTCTAAAGCAGATTTGGAAAATGCCTAGGAGGTTGTTGTGGGGAGGAGGAATCTGCTCCTCTGGTGAGTGTTATTCTGTCAGCAGTTAGGCACATTCAGATACAATCCATTAACATTTATTTTGCAATTAATGCTATAATCTTATGTACACTTGCTTTGAAGTAAATTACATTGATCATAATTCTAGGCATACATAGCACTCTTTCCATGGGTAACATTTAACATTCACTGTAGCAAGAATAATAGTAGCATTATAAGAATAAAGAAGCAAACGTATGCTTTTAATTAGTATTAATAATTGTTTCAGAAATGTGATTCATTATTCATCAGCTTCATACTGCAAATTATTTTTAAATATTTACACTCTTCCATAACAAAGAACTTTGGGCCCATTCCTTTAAAATATTAAGTCCATAAACATTTGTTAAATAGTTTGTAATATTTCCAATGTTCATACTCACCCAGAAGCAGCTTTTTCTCAATCAGTGGAAGAAACTGCTTAGCTTCAGGGTTGTTTGGTTCATATATCAGAACTGGAATTTGACAAGAGAGAAGGAATTAATATTTCTGGGGTGAAAGAAAATGTAAATATTTCTTCCCACCCCCAACCCAAACCATCAACTTCTAATTCATATGAGTGTAAAGATACTTTCTGTGCATTCTATTTAGGCGATTACCTGCTGAAAAACAAACTGCTGTTGATTCCTTCTTCCAAAGCACTAGCTAGATCAGTATTGTCCAAACTTGGCCACTTTAAGATGAGTGGACCAACTCCCAGAATTCCCCCTCCCCCCACGCTTGCCTGGGTATTCTTGGGGGTGAAGTTCACTTATCTTAAAGTGCCCAAGTTTGGACAACACTGGGCTAGATAGACTACAGTGAGTGAGGGGGTGGCGGCTGTGAAGGAGCATATTGGAATGTTCATAGGGCATGAAAGGATAAGGTTAACCCCACAGTGTGAATGGAAACAGGCATGCATAACATTGCATTACAGCAGTAATCTTCCAAAATTTTGTTT